TTAATACTTGAAACCCTCCTCTAAAAACAAACAGTCACCTATCTAATTAGTTCAAACACCAAAAAAATATACCTGAATATCAATTAATATGCAAAGTGGACACCATATCGGTTCTACTGACAAAGCAAACATCTACGGTCTTCTGTATTTCCGCTCTTGGGGATACAACCAATCAGTGCCAAGGAAAATAAATTGTGCTCCTACATTGGCTACTTTGCAAATACCAGCCAATAGAGTGTCAAATACAATTGCAACTAGGTAAAATGTAAATGTAATAGCGCTTTATCAAGTCCAAGGACTCCAAAGTGTTCTACACTACATTCAGTCATTCACCCATTCCCATACTGACGATGGTTCGCTACATGGTGGCCACAGCTGCCTTACAGCAGGTTGACAGAAGTGAGAACCCCATTCTATCAGCTTGATTGTAGATCTCCTCTACAAAAGAATCTGTGAACAGGAGGTTTACCCTTGAATAATTTGGAGTCACTTTCTGCCAAAATATCTGCAAATAGGCGAAACCGCAAATACCAAACATCCGAACAGGCGATAATACTCCGTTAATCACCTTGTCATTCTGTTCTAGCTTCATAATTTTTTGGGTGAGTACGACGAGGAGTCTGAAATATAGTCCACTTGTCTGAATTTTCTAGGCATTTGCTCATTTGAATCATTCAGCTAAGCTCAAGTTTTCAGGACGGTTGCAAAGCATTGGGAGGATTACCATTGTGCACTGCTATTTGTCAGGAAAAGGGTCTGAAGAGAACATCTGCGACGTGTGTGTTGTGACAGTCACCAGTAACTTGAGGAAACACAGGGACATTACATCAACTCCAAAATAAATGCCTGAAACTGGTCTGAGAGGCTGCTGGCAACACCAAAAGGGTTTAGATAATTGATAGATGAATGGATAGACAGACACCCAAAAGCTAACTAGTTTAATTTTTTACAAATAAAAGCTATATGCTTTCTGTGCAGGTACAAGCCAAAACTGCTAAGATGAGGTCCGTGAGCTAAGAGAGGCTGACAGGGAAACAGAGATTAACTCTGATAGCAGGCTAACATGTGTTTGACCTCCTCAGTGGCTGTAAACAGCGGATAAGCTAAAGACTTGATTGTCTGTTGCCCTCTGCAGACTCTCGCTGTAATAAGTTCATTTATCAGAACATGTAAAGATAGACTTTACACAAACCACTTCTCTCTGCTCCGGTGACCCCCGGCCCCCATCGGAGTGCGGACTCTTGACCAGTAATCTCCACGCAATTATCGGGGGCCAGCTTTTAAATTTCTCTCCACTCGTACTGTACGGCGCACGCTAAACAACTGCACGGCTGCCGAGAACAGTTTTGAATGAATGAAGTCAGCAGACGAGCAGTTAAACGCCAATACCAAGCGTCAATACTGACACTGTGGTGAAGCTCGTGTTTTAAACTCAGGAAGACAGAGTCACAGCTAATCAGGGTTCCCACCTTCAGCAGCTGGCAGGAGCTGTATTGAGTTTGGCAGCCTGAAACGAAGCAGAGCACCAGGAAGCCGGTGGTAGAGAAACACGACTGCCCAAGAGCAACTCGGCGGGAACTCCTGCTTCATTTATATCCTGCAAACACATCAAAAAAAATAAGGGCCTCACACTCCTCTGCAGGCTTCAAAGCGGCTCTGATTTTTCACTGTAATAATGAGAATAAAAAAAAGAACACAAAGACGAGCTTCTTTACACGGATTAAAAACGGTATGTAATAACACATTCAGACTGTCCTCATTGATCTCTGGGTTGTCTGTTCACTCTGAGCTTATTAAGGGGGGATCTTGAGCGCTGCGGCTGCTGTTGATAGTGTGTTCTTTGTGGTTTATTTATTGCATTTTCACCTGGAGTGTAACCGCTAAAGCATGCTTGAGGTGTTCCATGAGATCTCGAATCCTGAAGATGCCACTATTTTCTCCTCAAAGTGAAGCTTTTCTCAAGAAAGAGGGGTTCTAGTTTCTATCTAAGCAATTACGAGCCCCCTTTAGGGTTGGCACCTCATAAGTAGCGTTGTAGTATCCGTGGCTGAATAATGCCAAGGATATTATCGGTCCTTTACAAGAGCTGAGAAGTCGAGACTCACAATGTAAGGTTCTTGTCTAAAACGGGTTGTCGCTTTCAAAAATAACTGCATTGAGAAATGTTTTTCTCCACGTGGAAGCACTGAGAACAGCCTAAAACACAAGTTTTTACACCTCCAGACCTGTAAGTGGTGCTAAACATGAAGTATGGTTAATGTTTAGCAGTAAACACAACAATAATGCCAAACAACAAAGCACAACTGGAGTGTTTTGAGTGGAGTGACGACGAAGTTGAGCTTCTGCTCATTGGATTTTAAGATTAATAAACTATAAGATGGCATCACCAGTTATGTCTGCCATTGATTTTGTTAAGTATGATGCGTTTGAGGCTACAGGTCAAGTTAGCATTTGGGCTAAAACGTCAGCGCTTTTACTGTTCACATGAATATGCAAGGATAAGATTTACACTCAGGAACCAGTTTCATAAAAAGAGAGAAAAAAAGAAAAAAGTTTAGGGTCCCCTAAAACACCACTTTCAATCATTCCCATTTTCAAAAAAAAAAAAAAAAAATCCTAATGAACTAGGCCTTATTTTGAAGTAAGACAGGAAGTAACACTTGAGTTTGTGCCTTGGGTTATGATGGATTCACGTAATAAAAGCCTGTTTTATATAATTCTTTAAATCTGTTTTCTTTGCTCGCTGCTTCAGTGTCACAATCTTTCAGCTTGTTTGTGACACATCAAAAGGGAAAACCCTTTTCTTGTGTTGTTTTTTTTAACAACCATCATTAATTGGTTAGAAATCCAAACACTGTTAATATTTAAAAGTGGGGAAGCGATGCCCAATTTTTTTCCACTCCAAAATATCTGATTATGCCATCTGTAGTCTTCATCGATTTGTATTGTGTTTCATACTGTACTCCCTTGTTTAATGCCATTTCCCTTTTTATTGCATCATCACCATGATCATGGCTGTAAAAAGGTTTGTTTTTTCTAAGAGGTTTTAAGGTTCTTTAAAACTTGATTTTAGGCTATGTTAGGCTAACTTATCCTCTGAGTCAAGGGAATCAAAATGAGTTTGACTTCACACCATCTCACCAAGATTACTTTCCACAATTACAGCTGCTTTTCTTTTATAACAAATGGCAAAACAGTCCATTGATTTCCAGTGAGAGGAAGAAAAAATAGGCTCCTGAATAGGCAGATTAAAACCGATAAGACGCATCTTACCTCCCACCATACCCACCCACACGTCCGCTCTGTTAAATTTCACGCCCGGCCGATTCTTGTCGTGATTGGATATGTAAGACAAAGAAGATATGAAGTTCACGGCTAGAGCGATATTTAGGAAGACAAGCAGGTAATGAGCAATAGAAACATGACCGCTGCCTCCTGGGACGTGCTTGTTGCTGCAGTACATCAGGGCAGAAGAAAGCGAAAGGAAGACAGTTGTAGGTTTGTTATTTTTAGATCAGTGTGGCAGGTAAGAATCCCAGAGGACGGCTCGGCGTATTTACAGAACTTAAACTGATGAGGAACTTCGCAAAAGTCCTACAGATCACATGAAGGACCGACTTAATGTCTATTTTAGATCATAACAACTCCATGTAGCAACAAAAACAGGCAATCAGTAGTCACTTTAATCCCATTTATAAATAATTTGAACAAACCAGTTAGGGGAAAATGTATTTCCAAGACATTATCCCAAGATGAACACTTATTTATCTTGAAATAACTCACTTTTCTTACAATATTTTCTTTAAATATTATTGAAAAACTTGCTATCTCATGGTAATTCCAAAATATTTTGAAATCACAATAAAAAAAATCGCATGAAAGATGAAAATATCAAATCAAACTGACTGCCTTTAAGTTTACTCTCATTTTGTCACACTACGCCACAAACGACAGTCGTATGTGGAAGATGAACACAAAACAGCATGTGATTGGGAAAGAGAAAACTAAAGTATTTTTTGTCCTACTTAAATAACATTTTTCATTGTTGACCAAAAACTTAAATTTTTGTCTCACCTGACCAGAACACATACTTCCTTCCATGCGACTGCTGGCTTCTGGCAACCTCAAATAAGACTTTTTTATGCTTTTTTTTTATTAGTATTATTGTCAATCTTCCATGAAGACTGGCAATATTATCATGGAGTACCCTGGCTGCGTCTCTGATTAACGTTTTCCTTTCTCGACCTGTCATTTTCAGTCGACAACCACATCTTGATAGGTTTGCGACTTTACAAAAGAAAAGATTTCTCCAGGAAATGACAAGAAACTAGACTAAATGTCTGGGGATCTCTTGAAAATTGACAACTTAAGGCTTTCTCATTTTCTGCTTCAATAGATGGGAGAAATTACTTTTCAAAGCGTAAAAAAAAAAACATTTTGATCTGGATACTTGAACTCAGTGAGCCATGGCTGCAACATGAGCTTTGTATGCAAAATTACATCAAAAGGACCACGGCCATGCTGTTTGAGGATAAAAACAGCCCGTGCTTTAAATGTACTTCTCAGGACAAAAGTAAGCAAAACATCAGCAGCTTTTAATTTACATTAAATTAGCTACACTGTGCTGATTTCCTCTCCTCCTCCCCCCTGCCATCAGGAACAACTTTAGAGCTGCATCTGCTTTTTGACCAGATGTCGTCGGGATAGTTTTCCCTTTCGCGCCACAATGCGATTATGCAGACCACATCTCACAATTAGCTGATGTGGTCCTTCTCGGAGATAAGCGTCGGTGGGGGGAAGATGCGCCGCGCTTCTGTTTTGTCGTGCTGTTAAAGAAAGCTGATGGCTGCCACTTTCCCGTAAACACTCGCCAACAACGCCACACACTAATGCTTGCCGAATAAGATTATAAAGAGCTCACTCGCCTGCCTTTCTGCCGCTGAATAAGTGTGCAAACTTCCACGAGGCTGCACTAACCAGCTTTGTGGCTTTCCGTCGTCGTCGTCGAGCCAATGCAACCCGCTGCTGGGGAAACGATAATAATCCTCTGTGCTGGCTTTGCTGAGATGTCTTCATCTTAAAATGCCTGGTAAGCAAAGAAAACATAAGCAAATGTATAAAAAAAAAAAAAGATGCTAAGTTAGAATTTACAGACAGGCTTCACACAGGCCTACTAAATCAGGCCAACGGCTATCAGTTCCGTCCTTCCAGATAAAAACAGTTCTGCCTCTCTAAATTAATTAATTAGCTTTTTTTTCCCTCCCATACGAGAACAAACTTACAGACCATAAACTATATATGAGCTCCCATCATCTGCTTAATTGATCCCCAATTAGCCATCAGTTATTTGATTGTCTCATCTAGTCTGCGTGACACTGGTTTGTGTGTCAACTCGCTGAATGACAAGTAAGCGCTAATTAAAGACTGCGAAGCCATTTTCGAGGGAGGGGGGAGCCATATATATTCATGAGGCCGGATTAATTTGTAATAAAGACGTAATTTACCACCAGTGTGGAGAATATGACCTGCTCTCGTGTGAAGCGGCTTCTCCCCACAGTACGTGGCTGCGCTCTTCGCCTTCTGGCGGACAGGACGGATCCATCTGCCGTAAACGGCCGGAACTGAGGAGCAATCAGAACCCGGTCCAACTCATTATTGCCTCTGGTTGACCACACAACGGTGATTTCAGTCCTGATCCAGAAGATTTTTATTTTTTTTTTAACCATGGGCTGATTTTGTCGTCTCTCACAAGGACATGAACTTTTTTTTTTTCGTTTAAAAGATGAAAATCTAAAACTGTGCAGAGCAAAAGCCATATTTTAAAGTGGAGGTAAATTATCCAAAACGTGCACTCAAAAAAAAGTCTAATTGGATTTTTAGGAAAGTAATGGGTTTTCCTTCCTTGTTTAAATCCAATTTGGAGTTGTTAAGACTGTGACTGTTTAGAAAGCACACTGAGACGAACAAAGAGGAATCCCATCCCCGAGGATATTGTGCGTGTCTGATTTATTTAGAGACTTTAATTGCTGCTTGTTCAACTACTGCAGCAGCATGATGTTCAGGTAAATTTATAGGAAAGCGTGATGAACAAGAAGGTTATTTTGTGGAGTACCAAGTCGTCGTTTCCTTACAATGTTGTTTTTTTCTGGCTACATTTAACCAAACACTGATTAATGATGAAAGTAAATATGTCTCAAACCAAATGCAAATGTGAATAAAAGCAAAAGTTGCAAAAAAAGAAGAAAAAAAAGAGTCCCAATGCAATGCTACATTGAGGTTAATAAAACCAATTCCACATCCAGAGCTGTGAAAATGTTTTTGCCTCCTAATAGATTTCTTCTTCTTTTTCACACTCAGGTGTTTCAGACCATAAAGCAAATTTAAATAGCAAAGAAAAGTAAAGTAAGCAAACACAAAGTGCAGTGTTCCAATTATATTTTTATTTATAAAAGGGAGAGAAAGATATCCAAAACAACCCGACCCTAGTATGAGAGAAGTAAAAACTGCAAATTGCACCTTTTGCGTCTGGTGTGCAGGAGTTACAGCCCTCGTTTCTTTGGGGAATTGATTGAATTTTGCCACTTTGGAGGATTTTTGAGCCTGCACACCATGCTTAAGCCCAGACTTTGACAAGAAAACTACAAAATATGTTGTTTTTATCATTCAGAGATGGACTTGTTAATTTGATGTGGTTTGTCCTGTTGCTGTATAGTTACATTAACATTCAGCTCAGGGTCAAACAAAGATGGCTGAATTTTCTCCTTTAGGATTTTCCTACAGACAACATAATTCATGGTTTTATTCAGAGGTCACATCCAAGTGAAGCAAAATTACCCAAATTCTTCAAACTCCCAACTAGAGTTAGATCGGGCTTAAAAATACCAACCCGACCCCAAATGCATTGTGCTTGACCTCGAGCCAACCTGACTTGAGAGGCTTGAGACCAAAGTATAGCTGACGTATCTTAGCTAAGGTTTTACTACTTTTTTTTTAAAACCATTATGTAAGTAAGCAGTGTAACTTCTCCCGCTTTTGGCTTCCGTTTATCGTCTTTCAGCACCATTTTGTCGCTTGTTGTAACCGTAGGGTGAGTCAAGCGCAAATCATCTGGGATGTGTGATTGAAAAGATTCTAAATTATTATTTTTCATAAAGCATGTGGTCATTTAGTTTAAGTTTATTTGATAGGCACACATCGGCATAAAAAAAAACTGAACAAAGCAGCAGTCCCATGTTTGTGTCACAGTGCAATAGCAACAGCTAATTCGCAGCACTTGTCCCTAGATGGGCTTTTTAAACAGTACACCTTAAAACTAATAAAAATTGAAGGAATAATTTAAAATAGTACAGCATAATGTTGACAACATATATATACAAACAGTGAAACATAAAACATTACGTGTGAATACAGTTCTGTTTTTGACGTAACCAGAGTTTTGTTTGTTTTTGGAACGTACTGAAACTGACTTACTACAACTAAATAGCGACTATTTACGTAAGTCTGCATACGTGTCTTTTTATTTACTGATAAGAATTGTCTTGTTAAAGACAACTTGTTTGTTACAGCACCGCATTACATGTGCATTATATATTGGAGGTCAAATGCGGGAACAACCCCCTGATTTTAACTGTGTTTGGTTGCAAAGTCGCGAACTGTTGTGCTGTGGGATCAGGCTAACTAATGTTAGCAATGGAAGCTTTTAGCATCATGCTCATCTACGTTTTATTCAGTACCAAAATAACGTATTCAAAACATCACTTTCTGTGTGACTGATTAAACAAAATACAAGTCATGAGTACAACTTTCATATGTGGCAGCCATATTGAATTAAAACTCAGGAATCTCAGCTGTTCCAAGCTGGGATTAAGATTCTCTGGGAGTAATCTTCCCAATCCAGAGTTCAGAGGTTGCAGCTCTAGAACAAACTATAAAGACTGAGATGTTTTTTTGTTTTTTTTGTTTTTGTTTTGTTTTTTTAAATCTGAGCGCCTTATAATTAAAACAAACACACCTCTAGGAGTCATAACCAGAGTCTACCATTTATTACACATATTACATTCTTAAATAAAAATGCTCCACTTAACAGTTCTTGCATAGATATCTTACAATACCAATTTAGAAAAGAATTATGAAACAGACCGGTAACAAAAATAAATTTTCTTCTTCCTTAATAAAGAACATTACCATACTAACATCATATAATACAAATAATATTTTAAACACTTTGTACAGCAAAAAATTGCAAGTAAAACAAACAAATTAGAAATAAGAGAAACCGAACAGAGGTGGTGGTGACGGGAGTGGGATGTAGGGTGAAGGTTTATGATTATGATGTTGATATGAACCATATGAGTCAAGGAGTCCCTGTTGGTCAGCCGAACGGATACGCTTGTACTTTTTAAAAATTTATTTTACGTTAATTTATGATGAAAATGTAATTGTGATCACTTAATAGATTTAAAAATAAAAAAAGCACTTTGAAAAATGACAACATCGAACTAGTGGTAATACATGGTGGAAGCCATGATTGGCTCATTATTCTTTTAGTTTTGTTTTGTTGCTAAACCAGAAGGAACATTTTAATTATTCTGAGAGATATTTAGCAACGTCTTGTTAGAACCCAGCAGCTTTTAACCTTACATGCTACAAATTACAGCTGAAAGTAACCAGATCTTAAAGTATTTATCCATTTCTTTGTGACCTTTAAGAGTTAAAAACTTACGCCAGTCAGTATTTCAAGGACATTTAGTAGAAATAAATAAATAATATTAATAATTAAAAAAAAACATAGCTGATTTTGAGGATGTTTTAAAATGTATGTCCACGATTACCAATAGCATTAGGATCAAAACTGTGTTTGGACATTCTTTGGGTTTTTTTTACAATGTTTACTGACTTTCACATTACAATATTATATGCAGAAGAAACTTCCTTATACATCATTCAATTGCAAAACAAGTTGGCCTTTGTACTCTGTCGTAAATAAGTATTTGTCCCTTTCCAGAAAGCTTCAGGCTTACATTAGTTAACAAACTACTTTTATTAATAGACAAATATTACCAGAGGGAATACAGAAAGCAGTTTTCAAATGATGGTCTCAGTTATTAAGAAACATTTGCCTTTTTTTAAATAGATGATTTTAAACCACACTGGTCCAGACCCAAAACCTTTAAATGTGGCTGAACTGAAACAATTCTCAAAAAAAGAGGCTAAAATTCCTCCACTGCCATGTAAGACTGTTTCTGAGTTATTACAGAAATTTAAGGGCAGTTGTAGACACCACCAGTGGCAAAACCACTTTTATGGGGCAATTACTTTTTGTCATATTGACATGTTTTGTTTTTTTGTTTGTTTTTTTGTTTTACCCTATTAAAGGAAAGAATAATCTGCAAACTCTTTGATATTAAAATTTGTCTAAAAAAAATGAAATCTGCTAAGGGACAAATACTTTTCACAGGAAACAACTTTAGTACAGAAGAAGCTGACCAAGACATGTTTCATTTCAACATTTCTGAAACAAGATCATGAAAGCGGTTATGTCCAAAACACTTTCAGCCCAACTACAATAAAGAGATCGATCTGGTCGGTGAACAAAAATCTCCAATAGTGTATTGCTTGATAAAATGTCAGACAGTTTTGATACCAAACCTATTTAGAAACAGAACGTAAGAGGAAGTTTTCTAGGGGAGAAAAAGGAGAGAGGTAAAAACTAGAGAGCGAGCACCTACAGGGAGCAGGAGAGTGGATAAAAGATTGATAGATTGCACTGTAAAGATCTGCTGTCGATGCAGAAAACCTTTCGCGGTCCAACCAAAGAGCATAGCTCAAGAGAAAACTCCTCCAGAACATGCTGGGCCGCAGAGGGCTCCGATTGTTGAGGTTTGGGTCAGGAAGGTTCAGGGTGGGTAAGGTGAAACGTACAGACAAAACAAAAAAATAATAAAGTGAGTGGGTTAAAATGCGTGAATCTCTTATATACCAACACGTCAAGCATGAACAAACACAATAGTTAGAGAAGGAGTCACTTGGATGGCACTGATACCAAGAAAATCAACCAAGTCACAGCAGGACTGAAAGTCAGCGTGGTACAACGGACCCCCCCAGGGTAACGGTGAAGAAAAGGGGCTGGACCACAGTCCGATCTGTCGAGACTAGACCAGCAGAAAACGGTCCTTGGTGGCAAAGTGCATCCTGGCTGTGTGTTAAATGTTAAGTGGATATCGGACAGAGTGCTCAAACAGACTAGGCTAGCAGTGTGCGCACAAGTAGAGTGCAAGAGCTAAGTATGATCACGTAGTGCAATGGTTGCAAAAACTAAAGCAGATCTAGAGAAATGTCTCGGACGGTGTGGCGTCACAACGTCGATCGTTTCGCACAGAGAAAGAAGTCTGCGCGAGAGATCGTAGGCTATTTACAAAAAGCTGCCAGAAGTAACAATGTCTCTTCAGGACAAGGTGGAGGGAAGCCGTGGAAACAAACGTTTGGTTTCGCAGAGGAGTCTTCTACCTGGGCCCAGAAGGGATCACCAAAGGCCATAGTTTAGAAATGTCTGCTCCCAAATGGCTGCTGCTTTTTTTTTTTGCCAAGTTTTGCCAACTTTATTTGTCAGCACATCGTAAACACAGATTAGAAAGGTGTTCGGACAAATGATGAAACAGTTCTGTTATGTACAGCTAAATCTATGTTTTTATGGATGCATTTTTTTCTGTCTTTTTTTTTTTAAGCATTTCACTGCCAAAACGAGCGGCTTTCTTCTCTGCAAGAAACAAATAAAGAGGAAACTGTTTCCACTTAACTGAGATTATTTTAACAAATTGTGATCCTTCATCAATTTCCACCCAAACTAAATAAATACATAAATAACCAAATAAAATAACACCTTACCTTGACCATAAAATAATGAGATGCTTCTTATACACATGCCAATGATACTGCATCGATTTGCAGTATTTATGATTGACGTAAAATGGTACAAATTGGTTTTCCTTTTTGAAAAAAAAAAAAAAAAAAAGACTAATAACTAGACAAGCTAGACAATGGATGATGAGCTAACTAGTAGTTTAAATGGTTAGCAAGACTGGTAACAAGATGGTTGTTTGCTTAGCTTGGTATTTAGTGAGTTGAAGACATTCTTCTGTACCCATAAGCATTTTAAAAACATTGCTTGTCACGATAATACCGCCATCATTAATTACGTCTGATAATCTGAGATCGCGGCAGACGTACCACAATCCTTAAAGATGCAAACTGACTTACTGTCAATTGGTTATTTTCCATCATCCATCATGTAGTAATGAGTAC